AAGGAGAGAGCCAAGGAGCGTAGAGAGAAACGTCACCAAGAGATCTCTCGCCTCCGTACAGTTCCTTATTCAGACCACGACAGGTATATCCAATGCCCGCTTTTAATTGTTTACTTTTTTCTACAGCGAACCCTAATCCCCAATCGTGGACTGAAGTTATAGAAATGTTGATAAGCAATCATCATCATGGCTGAATTTCAACTTCAAGAGCTCTCAATTCTCGAACAAAAAATTAATCATTACAGTATCATTAATTTAGGTGGTGGTCTGCAGACACAATAGCGGTGGTGACCGGAGCCAATCGAGGAATTGGATTTGAGATCGCACGGCAGCTTGCATTCCATGGATTGACAGTCGTTCTTACTTCAAGAGACACTACTGCTGGGGAAGAAGTAACCAAAACCCTACAGGAAGAAGGATTGAAAGTCGTCTTCCATCAACTCGATATTTTAAACCATGAATCCATCGATTCCTTTTATGCTTGGGTAAACAAAAAGTATGGTGGTATAGACATTCTGGTAAACAATGCAGGAATAAGTCATAATACCGGATTTGATAATTCCGTTGAGTTCGCTGAAAAGGTAATCAACACAAACTATGTCGGAACCAAAAACATGATTAAAGCTTCGCTTCCATTGATGAAACCTTCTGCTGAAGGTGCTCGGATTGTTAATGTGAGTTCGCGATTGGGAAGACTTAATGGCAGAAGAAATGTATGTACGATCTTCTTTCATCTATAAATTCAACTTTCTACCGTTCTACATGACCTGAAATTTTTTCAAATTGTGTTTTCAGAGGATCGGGGATGTTGGATTGAGAGAGAAATTAGAAGATGTGGAGTTGTTATCTGAAGATCTGATTGATGGAACTATGAACAAGTTCTTGGAAGAAGTGAAAGATGGGAGTTGGATCTCGGGAGGATGGCCTCAAAACAATACTGATTATTCATTGTCGAAGCTTGCAGTGAATGGTTACACTAGGGTTATGGGTAGGATATTGTCTGAAAGAGGTGATGGTGGGAAGATATATATCAGCTGCTGCTGCCCGGGGTGGGTGAAAACTGCCATGACTGGATGGGCAGGTCAGACTTCACCTGAGGAAGGAGCTGATACTGCTGTTTGGCTTGCTTTGATTAGGGATCAGTCTGTTAATGGCAAATTCTTTGCAGAGAGACGTGAGATTAATTTCTAAAAGCTTGAGTTTGTGTCTGTATTCTTTTCACTTAGTGGACTTAATGAGACATGATTTGATCTGATAAGTTATAATGTGTGTGTATGTGTGTGTGTTTATGTTTAGATTAATGCAAAAAGAATGACTTGATTGAATACAAGATGGGAAAAAGTTAACCCCACCAAGAGTTGCAACTTATAATCAAATGCAACAAATAAGACAACAAAGAGCAGCACTAGAACCATTTGTGACTGGATATAGCAATTGACTTTTAACAGGAGCAAAGAACCAATTTGCTCTTTGTTATTAATTTTAATTGTCTTTATAAATTAAATAACTTTATTAGAGCCAATCTAATTAAAGTGGCCATTTATGAACAAATTATAAATTCAAGTACTTTAGATCAAATAATACATGAATCACTAGATTAAGGGTTATTGTCATTGTAGCCCAACAAACTTTAGTATATTGGTTTAAATAGACTAGTGTGACTGTTTTCGGTAGTTTAGGGACATAAAATCTATTTTTACCTGCCAAAAAAGGCCCGAGACTTGTTATTATTGGTATTCTTGATGACGTGACTTTTTTTTTCCACAAGTTATAAGAATTAAGTGAAGGCATTGACTTGACTTTTTAAAAAATGGTGACTAGGTCTTCAACATTGTGTCCATCAACTGGACCAATATAGTATAACCCGAGCAAAACCCTAATAATCTCACAATATGTCGTTGTTTGATTCTTCCTAGGGTTTGAATCTCAACATTGAATCCATGGTTGTGAGAAAAACCACGGCTCATGTCTGGCAATCTTTTCACTACAGCGAGCTCATTGTTGGGCATTGCGCCTTTGTAAACAATCTTGGCTCCTCTTTTTCTGATGATATTATCTTCCTTTAAAGAATCGATAACTTCATCGTAAATGAAGTCTAGGCGTTGAAAAGCAGTAAACTTCCATGATTGAGCTTTGCAAGCTTTCTTGATAGATCGAGCTTTGATGATTGTCGCAATGGCGAAGGCGATGGAACAGAGAAGTAGGCCAAGAACAAGAATAAGTTTTGCAGAGACGGAGAGTGGTGATTTTGAATGTGGTTGATGGGTGACGTTTGCGATTCCTTCTTTACAAGGTCCCTCGAGACTCGAGTAAAAGCTTCTGTACACCGGAAAATTGGCTAATGGTGGCCGCCAGTGGACCGATTAACCGATTGTTGGACAAACTGATCTTATCAAGATTTGCAGACATAGAATTGTCACCAGGAATTCACTGGAGAGAAGATTGTTCTGATGTTCAACCTGTAAGAGATGAGGCAAACTAAAAAGCCCTTTTGGAATCCAACCATTGAGGAAAATTTTTCCCATTCAGATTTGATTCAGTAATTGACATTCACCAAGAGACTCCGGAATCGGACCAAATAAATTTTTTCCCAAAGTGATTATCGTTTCGAGTTTGTTTACATTGCATGGATTGGGAGGAAGTGAACCTTTTAATTTGTTGGAAGACAGATCATGGATCTGTAGCTTTCTGTTCTTGTCAAGGCCTTAAGGGATACTTAGTGAAGTTGTTTTCTCACAGTTGTAATACCTCTAACTCCGGTAGTTCGCCAATGAAATCAGGAATCGATCCGTGGAGTTTGTTTTGGAACAGATTGAGTATGGTGAGATTGTTGAATTTAGGGAAGAATGAGGATATTAGGAAGATGTGATCAAGAAAGCAACGAGAGAGAACAAAGGTTTTCACAACCGACATAGTTTTAATAGGAAAAATCCACATGGATGACATATGGGCGCCACATGGACCATTTCAGTTGACCAAATGTCATGTGGCATATCAAAATTGATGAGTAGGAAGGGGTTCATCGGGTGACCCCTTCATATATTTTATAATGACATTTTAAAACGGTAAAACACAAATACATACCCTTAAAAGGCAAAAAAAAAAAAGTCACGATGAACCATTTAAACAAATATACTAAAGTTTGTTAGGCTAAAGTGATAATAACCGCTAGATTAAAAACAAGGGATAATGACTTAGGAGGGTAATAAGGTTTCCAGCTTGTCCGTATTAGGTCACTAAAGTTTTTTTTTTTGTGCGTATTAGACCAATATGGTTGTTATTACCGTTTATAAATAGTCATTTTACCGGTTTTAACGGGTAAAAAGTACTATTTCTAAACGGTAATAACAACCATATTAGTCTAATACGCACAAAAAAACCTTAGTGACATAATACGGACAAACTGGAAACCTTATTACCCTCCTAAGTCATTAACCCTAATTACTTAGAAAACATGCTTACTAATCAATGTGAATGATTTGTTTGACTGAAAATAGTTGCTTCCATTTAAACTTATCTCACAACCCTTCCAGAACTTCTAAGTCCATAAACTCATATGATTGATGATCTTCATTACATAAATATGCCACATTTTATCAATAATTTCTTTTTTGTCATTTAAATGTTTACATGAACACATCCATATGTACAAAAACAAAATCTTACTTTGATACCTCTCATCAATGTCTACATTTGATAACGAATGGAAATGTAAAACCAACGGGGACTTGTATAGGATGTCTATTATCAATTATTTTATAAAAAGCAAAACCACAACATGAACTAAGAAACTGAAGTTGCACAATGAATAAAAAATCAACACATAAACAAATACATACATACTATATACAACACATAAACGGAAGTTTATAAAGCATGAAACTTAATGACAGGAAAAGTAAAAAATTTAAAGGAGACTTTATAGAAAGAAAGATCACCCTTATTTGCCACAAATGGTTGAAGACATCAACAAGAAGATCACTCTGACCATAGAATCCATATGTTGTCTGATCATGACTTCAGTTGATGAACTACTGAAACGTAAGAATTGCAATTGAACTCTATTAGCATTTGAAAAGGGAATTAGGATTCCAGAAAAGACGACGAAGGGTTAAATAAATATTTTGGACCATTTCTCGATTTGTGTGTGTTATCCTTGCGTAGGGGCCATGCTAATCTTCTCTGTATCGTTCAAATTTTATCGGATGTCCCCAAAGGGACGACTATAGATGAAGAGCTTCGCCATATAGAGGTGTAGCAGGTTATATGGGACGACGCGAGTTATAAACGAAGTAGTTTACTGTTGATAGTCATATATTCTCAATGTCTTTAAAATTAGGGTTAATGACTTAGGAGGGTAATAAGGTTTCCAGTTTGTCTGTATTAGGTCACTAAAGTTTTTTTGTGCGTATTAGACCAATATGGTTATTATTACCGTTTAGAAATAATCTCTTTTAACCGTTAAAACCGGTAAAAAGACTTTCTAAACGGTAATAACCATATTGGTCTAATACGCACAAAAAAAACCTTAGTGACCTAATACGGACAAACTGAAAACCTTATTACCCTCCTAAGTTATTATCCCTAAAAACAAATCCAAACTTCAATCCAATGCAATTCATTTTAGATTTTCAATTTCATGACTAAAACCATAAAATCAAGTATTATTATTAACTCAACGGTTGTAACGTGTAAATAGCTATTTTTAAAAAATGTTTATTGACTTTCCAAACATAGTTAAGTTTTAAAAGAGGACTGGTTAAATTTTTAGAAAACGAGTCGATTTAGGGAGTGTTTGGATAGAGAAAAAAAAGGTGCTTATTGGTTATTCCTATAATAAGTTAATTTAAGTGTTTGGATAAAATCTAGCTTATTAGGCTAAATAAACTAATTTTAATAAGCATCCCTCCCCATGCTTATTGTTTTTTTTTTTTTTTTTTTTAACGGCTTATTGCTTATTGCTAAATAAGCTATAAGCAATAAGCTAAAAATCTAATAGTTGATTAGGTTTTTACGATCACCTACTTCTACAATTCGGGTTGATTGGCGATTTTCTGTTGTATCCTCAGTAGATTCTACGATTATTGTTGAATATATGGACGTGCTTTGCAATTAAACACATTCGATCCTTGACTTTTCAGTGCAGTGATCACTTGTACGTTGCTGTGGTTCCAAGTGGCTACAAAATTGCCACGGTGCTTTACGGTTGTTCACAAAGAACCGCCTTCCCCTCCTCCGCCACGTCACCTCGCGTTCGCGTATCCCTGAAATCGAACACATAAAATAACTCAATTCCTAATTTACAGCGACAATCAGAGCAAATCATGGCGAATATCAGAAGAAGTGTGTTGTTTGGCATATCACGCTTCCTTAATTCAACAGCCGCCCCGGCTCGTGTACTCGGCGGCGCATCGTCAAACGCCACCATTCCGTATCAAACTCTCTACAGGTTCATAATCTTGTGCTTGTGTGTGTGTGTGTGTTTTGCCAAATTTTGTTCTTCTATTGATGGTTTTCTGTAAGTTTCAGGCCTTATGTTAATTCATTCTCTCGTTTCTACTCCTCTAATGACGGCGTCGAATCCCTAGATTTCGATTTGTCTAACGAAGAAAGCAAGCGAATATTAACTAACAGGTTTGCTTTTTCATATCCCTATTTGAATTCCAGAAGCGTGATTGATGATGATGACGATTTCTGATTTTTGTTGTAAATTGGAGTTAGATTGTTGTATAGAAGCAAACAAAGGGGTTTTCTGGAGCTGGACTTAGTTCTAGGAAGTTGGGTGGAGAATCACATTGGATCTTTAGATGTAAAGGGGATCAAATCGCTTATTACTGTCCTCGACCTGGTAAATTCCACAAATATTATTGCTAATAATTACCAGTAACAGATTACGGATAGGGTTAACATGCATCTTTCTTACTTTTGAATTGCAGGAAAATCCAGATTTGTGGAAATGGCTCACTGGACAGGAGCAACCTCCTGAAGCAATTGAGACGAATCCTGTGAGTTAAACTTTACTGAAAAACCTGAATTCATGTACACTAATTTGTTTCTTATGTATGGATTGTTTAGAGTGGGCTGATTTGGGGAAGTTATTTTTGGTAATAAATAATAGGTATTCAATGAGGTGCGTAGCAAGGTGATGAACAATCTGGAGAGCTATGCATCTAAACAGACAAGGGCTACACCTGGGCAACCATGGGTGAGAGGATGGGATGATTTCAAGAAAGGTCGTGATAGCCCTGATGTTGGGAATCAGTAGTTCTTCTTCTTCTTCTATAACTCAATTGCTGCTGCTTAGTAATTTTACTTATGTCAAAAAATGTATTAAGAATAAAGGTGTTATGACATAACAATGAGGATGATCTTCTAATCTGTAGTGGCTGATGTTGTAAACCTTAGAGCATGATGTTTTCAGGCCTGAATAAGTTGCGTGTTATAATGTTGTTATGATATAAAATCGAATGTATACACTAGTCTGTTATTGTGTGGAACCTTTTTTAGTTTTTAGAGTAAAATACAGTTGCCAAAATTGCACTTTTGGTCATAGTATTGGCTTTTTCTCATGGGTGGTTCCCGTGGAGGGTTTTGGTAACACATGTGGTCCGTTAGTTTAACAAAGACTAACAACTTGGCTGTTATATTTTTAAATATGACAAGTTTGCCCTTGTTTATCTTCTCTTTATTGCTTATTATCCATTAATTAGAACTACTAATCACCAACAGTACCATAATCCACCAACCATCACAACCACCATACAACCAACTATTTTAAATTCTGGAAAAAAAACGTGTGCCCTACATGACCTTTACTTACTCATATGTCAAGCAAAAAGACTAAAATGCCCTTAAGTGAAAAGATGTATCTTTTGAGCACATTTGGATTAAATCCAAAAACCACTATTGCTGCTACCAGCCTGCCACCACCACCACCCTATAGTTGCTGTCACCACTGTTGCCACCACCAACACCCCACTGATGCTGTCACAACCCTCACAACCACCATCTTGCAAGGTATCTATTAATGTCAACGAGGGTGTTGAACCTTGTTATTACATCTTTTTAAAAATTGAAAAATACATAAGAATATCCCTTTGTCTATGCAGTATGAATTCCCTAAATAATCATGGATGCAAAATAAATAATAAAAAATTGTGTATATACAACTAGCTACAAACATACGATTACAACTAGTTAAAGACATATGAGATCCACCAAATAATTGAAAAAACTTATGAACAGAGTTTGTTAAATAACAGTCTCCTTGAAAAAACCTAAGTTTGAAAAAAATACTTATCCAATAGCATTTTGAATTTTCATGAGTTTTTTGGAGTAAAAAACTCATATTTTGGATGCTCTAAAGACGTCTAAATTGATACAAATTTAGTAAATTGTATGTCATTTTCCATTAAACCTTATATGTTTGAAACTGATTACACTATTGTAATCATCACAAATCAAGCTCTCCATAATTTATCTCAATACAAAATATTATCAAATAAAAAATTCGGTCAAATTCTTATTTATCTATGTATATATTACCACACAACTCTACATAAACAAATAAAATAATTTTAATGCCACAATATCGATCTAAAAATATATTGTTATTTTTTCCATTTAATCTTTTTCAGGTTTCCGTTGTTTCTCACGGTATGCAAGTTAGTTTATTACAATTATCCATTCCTTTCTCAATAAAAAGAAGTCTAGTTCTCCGGTTCATTTATTTTAGAAAGGAAATGGAGGTAAATGCTTTATAAAATTCTATAATGACAAAAGTATCCCCTATTATTCTAATTTATAAGCTAGCTACAGTTATCATATATACTTAATCTATATTTATTAGCAACCCATCACGATTCATCTTTTTATTAAAAAATTTCTTTCTCGTCCATATCTAAAGTATCCAACCAGGCAAATTCAAAAATTTAACCATTTATTAACAATCTAACACAACCAAAATTTTGTATTATATGGAAATTAAAAACAATAAGATATATTGTTTTATAAATTTTCAATAAACATATAATCAGATCTATAAATAATTATTAAAATTAAAAGAAGTGACCATGCATGGACTGCCATGTGTGTAGATCACGGTCGTGAATATGAGATTGCCAGCCGACCACATACTCAATTGGTCTTCAAATTCTATTATTTATTTATTTTACGTTTCACTAGCTTTCCTTCCTTCCTATCAGTAAACACGACTCTTATATTTCTTTCTTCTTGTTCAAGTCCTCTGAAGATTTTTCATTTTGAAACTACAAATGGTCAGTTACCAATGGATGTTCCAAATACTGAATGCCTTAAAAATGGTTAGTTTTATAAAATTATTGCTTACATAATACATACCGATAATCATGTAATCACACACTCAATATACAAAATAGGAATATGATACGACATCACCAACGCTTTTTTTTTTTATAAAAAAAAAGGCTAAAAAGTTTGGACGCTCAATATACACAAAATAGGATTACGATACGACATCAATGACCATGATGCTGGAAATTAAACGTCTTATAAATACCATTTTTTGGCACATTAAAGTTAAATTAAGTTTTCATAATTTACAGAAATACCCAATTTTGGTAGTTTGGTCATTATTCCACCCCTAGGTTTACAAATTTGTTATTAGCCGCTATTTTGAATATTTGTGACGTTTAGTCATGTTACATTACATTAGCTAAAACTTATTTGTGCTTAAAAAAGATGTACATATTTTAATGGCAAAAAACATATACTCCTTGGTTTACATTTTATTGCTCCTTAGATGTGAAAGATGTTTGAGGAAATATGCAAGTAAGAGATATTAAAGGGGTCTAAATGAAAAATCCCCCTAGCATTTAACGATGATGCCCGCATCCAACTACCCATCCCGGCAGATATTATATTTGGCAAAAGTCACCGCCAGCATTAACCGTCCAATTAAATGACGCCACCAGCCGACAACAGGCTATACAAATATTAATAAGTTTCTGTAGATAGTTATAAATCTCTATATTTCACAAGTTTACAAAGAAACTAAAACACAAAACAAATGGAGGAGAACAATAGTATTATGCAGAATAATGAAAACAGCCAAGAAGAACAAAAGAAGATTATGCAAATGAGGACTTTAGTTGAAAAGCAAGATCCAACCTCCAAGGTACATGACTTAATGCTAAACGTACAAGTCAAACTCGATCTAGTAATTATCTTAATATATATAGTATAATTCAAATTTGTGTATTAGGAATATGATGATTTGGAAATCAGAAGGTTTCTTCGTGCTCGTGATATGGACATTGAGAAAGCCTCTGCTATGTTTTTAAAGTTTGTTAAATGGAGAAAAACATTTGTTCCAAAAGGTTCAATTTCTGTATCGGAAATCCAAAATGAATTAGCGCAGAATAAGATGTTCATGCAAGGAACTGATAAAAGTGGACGCTTGATAACAGTCGTGTTTGGTGGAAGACATTACCAAAACAAAACAGGAGGCCTCGAAGAGTTCAAACGTATGTTAATGTTTCTTACACTCACTTATTACTTTTCGATTTTTTTTTTCTCAAATTAATTGCGATTAGAATTAAACCACAGGTTTTGTGACCTTCATACTTGAAAGAATAACTTCAAGGTATGACCATATTGGAATCCGATTTGTAAATATATATAATATTTTATTATAACAGATATTTAAAATATGAATATATCAGGATGCCAGCTGGACAGGAAAAGTTTGTTGCTATTGCAGATGTAAAAGGATGGGGATATTCAAACAGTGATATACGTGGATATCTTGCCTCCCTATCTATTTTGCAGGTTTACAACGATGTTACATGGTTTATATTTTGAAAAATCTGTAACTGATAGCAATAAGCAATGTCATTAAGATACAAAGCATTGCTATTTCTTGCATGATTAAGTCCTAGTATAAATTAGTAAGATTGATGTTTATGACAGGATTATTATCCAGAAAGACTTGGGAAAATGTTTTTGGTGCATGCTCCTTCCGTATTTATGACAGCATGGAAGATGATTTATCCTTTTATTGATGAAAAAACAAAGAAAAAGGTAAGGTGCAATTATTGGCTAATAAGATCAAGCGCAGGAAGTAGAAGTAATAAAATATGATTGAATTTATGTTTACGTTACATTGCAGATTGTATTTGTTGATAGTAAGCAGCTGAAGTCAACACTTTTAAAAGACATTGACGAAAGTCAACTTCCAGAAATCTATGGAGGGAAAATGAAATTGGTTCCCATTCAAGATAGCTAGTTTGGTTTATGTTCTCCTAAGAAGTGAGATCATTCATTAAAGGAACAGTCATAAGGGGCTGTTTCTTTTTCTGCTGAATGGATAAATGATGTATAAGTTTGTATCAATTTTGGACTGTATAAACAGTCTGAATATGAAAATTTGACCATTTCACCAACAGTTGATCGTTATTTAAGGACTGTTATAAATTGAAAGTGTAACCATTGGTGATGGAAAAAGTTAATTGAGAATAACAAAGATGTACCACATTTTATATTTTTAAATGGAAATCACAAAGAAACGTTTATAAAGATATAAAAGATTTTTGATTTTTGTTAAATTAGCATGCATGCTGATAAGTGATAACTAGCTGGATAATTTTGTTATGAAAAACAGAGAAATGTTTTTTTTTTTTTTTCAATAACGTCTTAATGGATAAACACACCCTCATCCCAGCCCATTAGGATGTTCTATGTATTAAGTTAAAAATAAATAAATTTATATATACATTTAGACTTTAGATTAAGGTGCTATTTATTTTTTAACTTAATGGGCTTGATGGGTTAAACATTTAACTTGAACCTAATGACTTAATGGGTTAAGAGAATAAGGTCGTGTTTGGTAAAACTAGCTGAAAGCTAAAAGTTGTAGCTTTTATTTGTGCAGACGTGTTCAACAAAAGTAGTTGTTAGTTTTTAAAAGAGTAAAATTAGATAAAACCAAAAGGCCAAAGCCACTTGAAGTAGTTATTGATTTAGGAGCTTTTTGTTTAAAAATAAATGCTAAAAACTCATACTACTAAGCAAAGATTTTTTGGAATGCAAGGGTAAAATGGTCATTTAGTAAATGGTTTATTTAGTCTAGAAAATAAATAGACCTTCTGCATAGAGCACGTCATCAAAACAGACATCATTACCCATTCAACTACTTCACACATACAAACATCATATATATATATATATATATATATATATATATATATATATATATATATGCGGTAACTGCATTGATGTGAGAGATGCTTTCCAATAACAAATGTCGAATTAGTTGAAAGTACAAAATGTGAAGAAAATAAAGAATACACAAGAATTTAGGTGGTTTATTAGTTTATATGATCAATGTTACATATTTCATTCACAATGATCATTAAGTGAACGTTTTTAGATCATATGCTAACGGAAATTTATCACACGCCAGTTGGCACTTATGGTAGTTACCACAAGGGTCTACAGTCAATTTCCAATATGCATATGGATGGTAGTTCTGAAATCTCAATATTATTGAGTTTCACATAAAAAATGTGTTGCATGATTATTAGTTTATAAGCATGTTTATAATGCATAGGTAGTACATGTACTAAGTGAAAATTTACCTCCACATTTAGTTATGATGCCCATTAAGTCATTCTGACCAAATTAAGTAAAAAAAAAAAACAACTTACAAAGCCCTATTTAGTAATTTCATAATTCAAGTTCTCTGTCAAAAGTGTAAAAGTAATATATAATTACAGAGAGAATCACTGACACACAGAAAATATAAATTGGTATAAATGTGGCCAAATAAATCAAATATTAACAAGTTTAGAGAGGAAGTAAAAACAGATGGAGGGAGATAGTGGTATTGTGCAGAATAATGAAATCAGCCAAGAAGAACACAAGAAGATTAAGCAAATCAGGGATATAGTCGAAAAGCAAGATCCCACCTCCAAGGTATAAGTCTTAATGCATAAAGTACAAGTAACTATATTCTGTTCTTCTTAACATCTAATTCAATAAATCTCTAGATTTTTTGAATGCTAAGATCAAGAAAGTAAGAGTAATAATTAGAATTGTATATTAGGAGTATGATGATTTGACAATCAGAAGGTTTCTTCGTGCTCAAGATCTGGATATAGACAAAGCCTCTGCTATGTTTTTAAAGTTTGTTAAATGGAGAAAAACATTTGTTCCAAATGGTTCAATTTCTGTATCTGAAATCCCAAATGAATTAGCACAAAACAAATTGTTCATGCAAGGAACAGATAGAAGTGGACGCTTGATTACACTTGTGTTTGGTGGCAGACATTACCAAAATAAAATAGGAGGTCTAGAGGAATTCAAGCGTATGTTCTTTAACTTATTATTTACCAATATATATTTTCAATACTTTCTTTAATTAATTTGTGATTAATCACAGGTTTTGTGACCTTCACTTTTGAAAGAATAACTTCAAGGTATGACTATATTGGAACTGAAAAAAATACTCAATAACTGATTTTTGACTAATATTATCTAGAAAAATACTGGATAACCGATTTTTGAAAAATGAATATATTAGGATGCCAGCTGGACAGGAAAAGTTTGTTGCTATTGCAGATGTTGAAGGATGGGGATATTCAAACAGTGATATACGCGCATATCTTGCCTCCATCTCTATTTTGCAGGTATTTATGTTGTTTATGTTTTATTTTCATATGCAAGAAATAGCAACATACTTTACTATCATTTTTTTTTCTATTACAATTTATTGTATTATGAAAAATCTCAGTTATGCCACACTGTTATAACTAGGTAGAATTTTTTCTATGTATGATGTTGTAGTAGGAAGAAATGAAAGTAGGATGATATAATATACAGATAAATAAAAATTAAAAAATATGTTGCTGTTTCTTGCATATAGTCCTAGTATAAGTTATTTTCTGATGTAAGAAATGATGTTTATGACAGGAGTATTATCCAGAAAGACTTGGAAAAATGTTTTTTCTGCATGTTCCTTACATATTTATGGCAGCATGGAAGATGATTTATCCTTTTATCGATAAAAAAACAAGGGAAAAGGTAAGAGCGTCTGCATCCTAAAGTAAACACCTTGATATCACAGTTATAAATGGTGCAAATAAGTATAATTGAATTTATGTTTACCTTACATTGCAGATCATATTTGTTGAAAATAAGGAGCTGAAGCCAACACTTTTGAAAGACATTGATGAGAGTCAACTTCCAGAAATTTATGGAGGCAAACTGAAATTAGTTCCCATTCAAGATAGTTAATTAATTATCTAAAATGCTATGAAAATTGTTGTAATGTAAGTAACAAATATTCATAATAACTTACCAGTTACCAATAATCGCCACATGTACAAACACCATCTTCTATGTGGTGAAAGCGGGCCCTGTCCCTTACAATAATTACCCTTTTCAATACTTTAGAAACCAATTTCAGCCAAGAGTGACAATCAAGACATGTTCTTAAATTCTTTGAAACCCTAATTTCAGATCCAGGGGTTGATTTTAGTATCCCATAAGCCAATGCCAACTTTTCACTATGATAATTCAGATTCTCTTCCTTTTCCTCTTCAGATATATCCATTAAAACCAATTCTGTAACAGGAACATATCCTTCATGTCTAATACGCCCGATCAATGCTTCTAGAACCTTGTAGATTGATTCCGTTTCACAATGTGATTTATCTCCTGCTTTAAATTGATGAATGACTCCATTAACTTCAATCCAACTTTTTCCCTTACTTTTATTAACACCATTCCTTTTCATCATACTCCTCACTTTTTCAGATTTATCCCATTTATTTACTGAACAATATGTGTTTGAGAGTAACACGTAATCTCCACTATCAAGATTTGATATTTTTGCAACTGCAAATTCACCTAACTCAAGATTTCTATGTGTTCTACATGCACTAAGAAATGCCCTCCATATAACAACATCAGGGTCCATAGGCATCTCTTGAATCACTTCATAAGCTTCTTCTAGAAGCCCAGCTCGCCCAAACAGATCAACCATTGATCCATAATGTTCAAGTTGTGGAGTAATCTTGTATTTTGTTCTCATTAGGTCAAAATACTCACGACCCTGTTGAGTCAACCCACAATGGCTACATGCAGTCAAGATTCCAATGAAAGTAATTTGATCTGGTAAAAAATTGTCAGCTTCCATCTTTGAGAAAGTTTCAATGGCATCCATGGCAAGACCATGCATTGCTAGACCATTGATCATGGCATTCCAAACAGAAACATGATCATGTCTTACACTTTCAAAAATTGCTTTTGATGTTTCAATTCTACCACATTTTGAGTACATGTCTATAAGTGCAGAACTCAGAATAAAATTGAGTTCGATTCTTTTTTCGGTTAGCAAACCATGTATCCATTTAGCTTGGTCTAAAGCTCCAACACGAGCACATGCAGTGATTATGGATGAAAATGTGAATTTGTCTGGCTCTATGTTTGAACTTAACATCTTTTTGAAGATCCCAAATGCCTCTTGAAATTGTACATTCTTAACAAAACCTCCTATCATTGAGTTCCAGGATATTAAATCTCGTTTGGGCATTTTACGGAATATTTTCTTGGCAATATCAATGTCTCCCATTTTCATGAAACTTGCAATGATCAAATTGCATGAAACTACATTGAATTTGTGATAAGGAACTTCATTAAGCAATTGACGAGCAAGAGAGAGAAGATTGAAAGATAGATATGTAGTAACCAGAAGTGATGTGAGAGATGGGCATGTCTGGTACCCGAGTTTAATGATTCTTGCATGTGTTCCACTAACAGATGTTGAATTAGTTGAAAATTTGCATTCTTCCAGAGAACGGAGTAACAATTGATGGTTTGAAACTGTTGTTCCATAAAAGGAGAATGGATTTAATATACACAAGAGTTTCCAAGTGAAAAGTTCATAACAGAAGTTCTTTGAAGTGTAACCTATTCTTTTTCGACCTCAAAAATAAAGCACCAATATTTTCTAACATTAACATTTATGTTTAGAAATCGCATATATTGTTCTACACAAAGCTTTAAATATATCGATTATAATGTGTGCTGAAAACTAGTGCGTGTATGAGAGCAATGATTTACGAGAAGTGATTATAATGTGTCAATAAACAGATGAAACAATGATGCCAGTGATTTGCGAACTCCGATGGATGCTGTCAATTTTGTCAATGCTGTGTGCGTCAAAATAATGTGTATGAGAGTAATTCCACGAAAAGTGTTCGCAATCCAGTAGGGAAATAGATGGAGTTAAAAATAAATTGATTAAGTTTTGTTCAGCGAGTCTGTGAGAGATGAAGAGGTAAGTAACCTGAAGGTTCGTTAGGAGGAAATCCGATACTGGATGCTGCGTGGTTCGAGCGCCATTGCCAGATGCAAGTACGCTTATTCTGCCAATAAATCCGTTTAATAATCGCGATCCTCATCGCCTACAATGAATTAAGTATGACTGTTGGTAAGAAAAACACCAGCAGCCCCGCTTGATTGTCCGTGTAGTGTTCTAACTGTAGAGATTCGCCCGCCATTGATGGAGGAGACATGGACGCCGACTGTTTAGCAGTTTAGGAATACACTTTTGGGCTTCTAGTTAGTGCTGCAATAGTTCATAGCCCAGCTCAGTTTGGCCCAAATATAACAATATACCTTCCAATTTCGATTCATATTGACACCGATATAGTGATTGATTTGACCAAGAGATATTGTTAGATTATGGACAATTTGATATTAGCATTGATGTATGATATCATCAATAAACTTTAAGGCAAAACAAATAAATTTGTTTTATCATCACTGATAAACACTATTATATACTATTTGGAACTTTTTCGTGCTTTTAATTAATCTAATTTCCATAAATTTAAATTTGCATCATCATCTTGCTTCAATTTGTTTCTTAAAAGCATTTAATAGCACGGGATCAACCCGATCAACTTACTACAGTGGCATCTACATATAAACTACTTGAATGATTATCATTTGTGTAAAATTATATAGGCGTGGGTGTAAAATGTCCTGACAATCACAATCTTTCCACATCGAAGAATAATTTCACCATTTTCACTCCTTTTGATGAAGAAGAATCCATTGATTATAAGATAAAAACTAGAAATAATTTGTGTATTGTTTCGTATTGTATTTTAAAATTAATCGTAATATAAAATATCAAATAACAATAATAATAATAATAATAATAATAATAATAATAATAGATAAGAGAGTAACTCGAATACTTGGATGGTATTGTTGATAAATGATATTGTTGATAAGAGAGTAACTCGAATACTTGGATGGTATTGTTGATAAATGATCAGGTCATATGAGTTGAATTTTTGGATCGTATTTTTAAAATATGTAATCTACCATTCAAAAATTAAAAACTTCAACATATTAATTTGAGAGTAAACTCATTTCATAAATTTTCGTTATGCTTTATTTTATAGGATCAATGATCCTTATGTAAGCAATATTTTACAAATAACAAAAGGACTAATTATTGTTAGTTAAATACAAATACTAGACACATACTTAATTTTACATTATCACATATAGGATATGCACCTGATGTTACTATTCATCGTTGAGTACATGTCATGCACACTACACATATTATTACATATTTGCCACTAACTATTACATACGTCATGCACATTTGACACTACACACATTATTACATATTTAGGGGTGTTTGGCTTAGCTTTTGAATGACCAAAAATCTTTTTAGAAAAAGATGATAGGCAAAAGATGTTTAATAAAAGACTTCTAAAAGCTACTTTTGAATTTTACAAAAAAAAAAATCTAACTTTTTAGAAAAATCAGAAAAACTGATATTTTGTAACTTTTTCAAAAAGATCTTTTACCTCCAAAAAGCTAAGTCAAACAACCCCTTAAGACTTACTATTACATATATGATACACACTTACATAAATTATAAATATACATAAAACTTCAAATCCTTCATATAAATTAATAAAAAAAAGCTATAATTTCGTTCCATAAACAAATTATTTATCTTATTAAAACTCATAAGATCTACTTACATATTTAACTATTTATAACCTTCAAAAGATTCTACCTTAACCGTCAATGAGATTAATTACTCTTACACCTCGCCGGTACACCATAAATATTCCATTTCCTAACCGTTATAAAAACGCCAGGTAGCGGAAATCCTTTACATAGTCATATTTGTGCCACCCATTTTACCAAATACAATCACTCTCTACTCTCTGCGAAAACCCTCGGACCTTTCATCCTTAAGGTTAGTTCAACATTTTTTTTTGTCTTCGTCTGTTCGTTCTATTGATTACAAATTAGGGTTTTTGGTATATTTTTGTCAACTTGTGGGCGTATTGTTTCCATTCTTGAACACATTGCTTCCTCGCGCTTTTCAATCTGTTGTTGATGTCGAAATGTAAGATTTCTTCACCCAAGTATCTTGGGAAGGAATCCAAACGAAATTTGTTCATAATTTGCATTCGATTTTAATTCCAAATCTCGAATTCCATGCGACCTAACACCACCTATATTTTTTTTTTCCTTCTTTGGGGTTACTTTGAGCCCTGACTGTGTTTATGTGTGTGTGTTTAAATTCAGTCTTATCGAGCTTTCGTACAGAACTTAATTGAATATTGCGCAATTTTTGAAAAAGAACAATGAAAGATGATCTTACAGAAATCCTGTACATAATTTACTTCATTATTTGTTTGTCATCTCTAATTAGTTGGTTGTGCATCAAATTGGACTGGTTATTGTTTTCTGTAATGCGTACTGAGTTTTGCGTGTAATTAAATAAGTTTATCGAATTCATTCAAAGTTTGAAACATATAAAGAATTGAGTTAAAACAGTATATAGCTTAAGGGAACTTATAGGAAACCCAGTAAGTTGCAAGATCATGTTTATTAGAATGTTTAGAATCATGTGCGTTTCTAACAGTGAGGTGTTATCTTGATTTTGCAGCACTAACAGTTTTCATCATGGCGAAAAAACAAGGACAAGATTCAAGCAGACCTCCTGCCAAGAAACATTTCAAGAAGTTAACAAACAACATATCTAAAGACACTGTTCATCATTCTTCAGAAAACAGCGCTCTTGCTCCTGTGAATGATAAAAAAGAGGAATTATGTGGTTACATATTCATGTGTAGTGGAAAAACAAAACCAGAATGTTATATAAACCGAGTTTTTGGTCTTCCTTCTGGTAGAAGACAAGTTGTTGAAAAGATCAAACCAGGCACCAAGCTTTTTCTGTTTGATACTGATGTGAAGCTTCTTTATGGTGTCTACGAGGCATCATCCAATGGAGGCATGAACTTGGAATCTGCTGCTTTTGGTGGCATGTTTCCAGCACAGGTTAAATCTTTTATTTATAATTTTATATAAAATAATCATACTCTAAAATTCTCTCTTTTTAGGTAAAATTCAAGATTTACAAGGAATCTCTTCCACTCCCCTTAGGTACATTCAAACATGCCATTAAAGAAAATTATCAAGGCTCAAAATTTGCACCAGAACTTAATAGTCAACAGGTAAAACACAATTTCTTTTTGTCATTTTCCCCAATTTTCCCAATATACCCATTTGGGGTATTTTCGTAAAATTGCAGGTGAGGGCACTTCTGTCACTGTTTCGTCCCATCGGTGCACGATACCCTACAGCACCTAATGGTGCACCTGAACCGCAGAGGATACCTGCCACAAATAATATTAACGGATGGATTAACAGCTCACCTTTAGAAAATCCGTATAGACAACCAATTCATAATCTTCCTCAATTGGGTCAGCAAAACGGGCTAAACCTAAACCCACATTTACATAATTGCCATCCAGCTGTCGCCCCTGCCCATCACCCCCCACCCCCGCCAGGTCATCCGTATCATCAACCATACCCAAGGTAACTGATGTCAATGGGACAAAATTGTAATTTTGAAAAATGTAATCTAAAATTTGGTTTTTTTAACAGCTATTTGACAATGCATGGGTGTGATCAAAGATTTGGATTGGATGCTGACAGGTATTTGGGTCACAGCTCTTACCCTGTGCCATCAGCAGCTGATTATGGTTATGGTTGTGGTTCTCCTCCGCATTTGCGGCCTACAACTCCTTATGGTGGACCAACGTACATGCATCCTCCTCAATCTCATACACAATTGCAAGGGCATGAGGTGCCAGTTTCATCTTGTTACTTGTTTCCTCGGGGGTTATGTTGACAGTTGACTGGAGGAGAAAGATTGTGAATATTTTGTGACTTTCAGAAACTTGAAAAATGTATGAGGTTAACTTTTCTATTAATAGAGAATGGAGAATAGAGAGCTATATTTGCCAAGTCGATTTTAGTTATGTTACCTCTAACTGATCAAATAGCTAAAACTGAAAATAGGTGAAAATAAACAGAAGAGTACTCAAACGAAAAAGACTACGAAAAGTCGACACAAAGTTTGTATTTAGCTGGCATAGGGTTAGGTGTAGCTTTAATAAACCTATTTGACATGATTCTTTTGACTATTTTATATTGTTTTTAAATTCATTTTAATTGTATTATATATTTATAATTTCGTCTCTTTAGTTATTGTAATTGTAACTATAAAATAATATTTATGACTTTTTTGTTAGGCTTTTCTGTTTAATTACACATGACACCAAAGATAAATAAAAAGATAAAAATATATAAATAATGTTTTAAAAATAAAAATATATGAAAATCGAAAATAAAGAGAGGCTATAAATGTAATGATACACACAATTCAATGAGACTTCTTATCTAAAATTCAAATGATATTTCTAATATGACATACAATTCAAAAATACTGACGCATAATTCAGTCTATTTAATCATAACATAAGTAATATTTATAGACCTCGTTCATTTTTATTTTCATCGTACCTAATTTTGGAAAACAATTTATTTAAAGTAACGACACGAGTTGGCTCGGGTATTTTGGCATCATTAGCAGAATTAAATTACGAGATATGTTCATTTATTACTATTAAGATATTCATGTTTATGTATATCATATATTCATATTAACCCGAGTATTTTGCCATCATTTGATGAATGAAATTACAAGATATGTTCATTATTACTATTAAGATACTTATGTTTATGTATATCATATATTCATATTTATATGTATTCATTGGGGTAACGATATTAACATAAACAATATATCTCAAGTCGGTGATACTAAAATAAGTTATTTCAGTAGTAACACATTAGATTTTGAAACTGACATGGTAAAACTTTTAGGTTTATTAATACAATTTCTAATAAAAACATCAACTTCAGGTACTCAAATCTTGTAAACAATTAATAAACTGTAAAAAAACTATATATATACACACACACACACAGAGAAAGATAGGTTAAAATGTTTCTAACAATTATAGTATTCCTGAATGCATCAATAAAAAATTAGCAAATTTTATATAATTATTAAATTGTTAAATGGTATAATAGTAATCTTTACCATGTTTAATTTTAGTAATGATTTAAAATATTTAATATCACTTTAAATAACGATAATCAGTTTAAAATCATACATTCACATTTGTCTCTACGTTTAGTTGTCGATCTCTTCTGTTCACGACTTCATCTCTTACCACCGGCGCAACCTCATTCTTCCCTGCAACTACCAATGTTATTGTCATCTTTCCCCGGAATAACGATCACGTTTGTATCTCATTAACCTACTCTTATGCGTCTTCATCAATAATCGATCGCCAATAGGCTTTTATAAATCCATCATTTTGATCCAAATCACAACCAAATCAGAGAATACTTTATCCAAATCTCAGCAGCAAAAATTAGTTCATTTAAATCAAAGCATAATCGATAAAAATTGTTTTCAGGTTAAGTGCTTTTTATTTTTATTTTTTTATTTTTTGTAGTTTTTGTTTACTTACCTAATTTCACAATCTCCGTGTATAATAATCAAGTGAGTTTGGTGTTAAAAGCTTATTGGTAAGGAACGAATTGAAGTAATAGTTATATCCGTAAATTGCATAATAGGTGTTATTGGTGTTAAAAGCTTATTGCAATTTACGATATTTGTTTTCTTCTAAATCTAAGGAGGTATCAACATTTAGCATATATTGTTTATTCAAAATAACAATTTAAACTATAAAACTATGTTTCTAAAAAATAGACTTAGAATTTAGTGAATAAATAAGTCATGTTTTAGCGAAGAACAATTCATCAGAGGTAGTCCTCTGAATAACATATCCTAAGAAGGCATCTCTGTAAAACGATGCATCATTTGCGGAATTAGAATTTTATAATTTTTTTGTCTTTTTCCCCGCCACATCATTTTCTTAGAGAGTTTTCTTGTTCCTCAGAGCATAAGGACTTCTGTAAAGCCCATCTCTACGGAAGTCATGATCATTTTATAAAAATTGTGCTTTTCCCCAAAGATGACGAAGGTTATGATCGGGGATCGTAAAATTGGCCATCAAAGATTAAAATGGAGGCATTGATGAAGAAGAAAACGGTTGATTAAAATGGAGGCTTTGATGAAGTAGAAAAAAAAGGTGAGTGGGATGGGTTTCAAGGTTAGTCATTTATTAAATTTCTTAAATAGGTAAAAATAAAAATAATAATTGAAATTAATAAAAAAAAATTTCTGCTGGAACAGGGACCTAGGTTTGTAACTTTTCCAAATCATAGGGACTATTTACGTAATTTACTCTTTATAATGTTTAAATTAAAAATGAATTAATTCCACCAGCTCCGCCCGTTATCTCCTGGAAACCTCCCAGGTCCCGTCGAGGTCTTAAACTACTACTATTTTCCACTCCAATTCAACTTTAAAAAGTCGACCCCCTTTTACCTTCACTGGAATTTTCATTTTCATTTTTCTAAACATCAGCAGCAGCCATGGGCAATTGTTGCTCCGACGTTACCGACGGCAAGGCCGCCGTCGGCGGCTCTCCATATAATCCCGATGCTCCCGGTCCTAATGATGCCGTAGACGTTTTCCTCAAATCTCGTGGTTACCATGGCCTCTTTTCTCAGATCGAGGTACTCTCTCTCTCTCTCTCTCTCTCTCTCTCTCTCTCTCTCTCTCACACATATTTATTTTAATAATTTCCGATCATTTTTAGGATGACTTTTCTGTTTGCTTACCTGAATTACTTGGTTTGGTTACGTCCAATGGAGTGTGTAATATTTGACCTATCACGCCTAGTGTAATACATTGTACAAATGCAGAGTGAAGGTGTCAAGTGTTAACTGTTAGTTCTTAATTACTCAGAGGTTTTTGATCGATGAATCCGTTGACTAGTTTGTTATGTTTCCTGCTGGTTTTTGAAAAAGAGGTTCGGACTATGTGCAGGTTTAGATCGAGGGAGGTAATTTTCAGCCCAAATATGAAGCTATGTCTGTTTTGGGTATAGTGTAGCAGCATGTAGTTGCTTCCTATAAAAAGGGGACAATGGGCTGGTTTTCAATTTTGATTTTGATGTATCTCCTGATTGTAGAATTTATAACAGCACTACTTTTTTAAATTGTAAGCATCGTTTCTAAATAAGTGTTCTTTGATGTTCACTTGTAAGTATAAGTAAGATAGACATATGGTTAATTATGATTATCAATGTATTGTTGTTATACCTGATAACTTACATATATGTCAAACTGATGTAATTCATAATCAAATTGTTGCAGTTGTCTTTGTCTGCTTCAAACTTGCGTGACATGGATATGTTTTCCAAGGTATGTTCTCAAATTTTTATTAACACTGATTTAAACATGACTTCATGTACTTATAAATCTATGCATTTTGAGTGAAATATTGATTTGTTTCTTGTTTTTAGAAGCTGATAAGGTTTCTTGCTCTCTAACAAATACATGTTTTATCCATAGAGTGATCCCATGGCAGTTATTTATACAAAAGGAAATGATGGCTCATTACAAGAGATTGGTCGTACAGAAGTTGTTCTAAATTCATTAAATCCACAGTGGATCACAAAACACACTGTTACTTATCACTTTGAAATGGTTCAAATGCTGTTGTAAGTTCTACTAGGTCAGATTTTCTATTTCATACATGTACATTTATTTTAAATTATATCTAAACACAATGTCATCTTACAGGTTCAGGGTATATGATGTTGATAGGAAACTCCATGATCTACAAGTAAAGGTGTAATAAATTACATAATTCTGTTATCTAGTAACTTTTCTCAAAGATTTGTCACTCAAAGTTTTATGTTTGCTCTGCAGACACTTAAGTTGGATGAACAACAATTCCTGGGAGAGGCTACTTGTACATTATCTGAGGTATAAACCATGAACAATCCTCTGACTCAGACTATCTATCTTATATATAATTAAAATTGAAATCTGTAAGTTTTGATTTTTATAAAAGATTGATGTTTATTTCTATGTAGATAGTCACCAAACCAAATTGGTTGTTGACCATGGATCTTGTGGATGTAATAGAGTCAACCAACACCACGCGTCCAAAAAACAAAGGGAAGCTCAATGTTCATGCAGAAGAAGTTTTTGTTTCCAAGACTATAACTGAGTTAACATTTAGGTGCTCAGATTTAAAGAATATGGATTTCTTCTCCAAAAGTGTATGCACTTATTCTGTTTTTAACCATTACAGTAGAGTAGATCAGTAGACTTGAGTTTACTTATTTCATATTGTTTGTTTCAGGATTCCTTTTTAGTAATTTCAAAATGTGTGGAGGGTGGGACTACTATTCCAGTTTACAAAACAGAAGTTCTGAAAAATAACTTAAACCCAATTTGGAAACCATTTCTTTTGTACACATCACAAGTGGGTAGCAAGGTAATAAAATATGTTATCAACTTATCATTCAGTCTCATATATATGCAATATGGAGTCACTTTTTTTGGTTACTTTTTAATTCTTTTATTTAAATCTATCCAGGACACTCCACTTACTATTGAGTGCTTCAACTATAATAGTAACGGAAATCACAATCCACTTGGGTAGGAAATCGTTATATTTCCTTATTATTAATTAAAACCGTGATTTTTTTTTAATTAATATTTTGGGTGATTCAGCAAAGTCCAGAAGTCGCTTGCTGAGTTAGAAAAATTATCTTCAAGTGGTCAGGGAGTGAATATGTTTCCATCACTTGATAAAGATAACCAGAAAAAGGTTTTAACCACTAATCCATTTATTTATATGTTTTTAATTAATTATTCATCTGACTCTACAGATATTATAGTGTTTTGTTCTTACCTATTTATGATATGAACACAGATACTGAAAAGTCAACTCTTTGTGGATAAGTTTTCTGAAAGGGTCCAACATACCTTCCTTGATTACTTGGCTGCTGGCTGTGAATTGAACTTCATGGTGGCTGTAGATTTTACAAGTATTTGTGCTCTTTTTCTACACATACAACTATGGATACATATGATTGTGTTGCCAAACAAACCTACTTACTTACCTTCTGTTGTATATATAACATATATTTTTGTTTTTCAGATTCTAATGGAAATCCACGTCAGCCAGATTCTTTGCATTATATAGACCATTCTGGACGTCCAAATGCATACCAAAAAGTGAGAAGCTACAATTTTAAACAAATACAAATACAAATAGTAATGATGTTTCACTTGTTTTAGGCAATACTTGAAGTTGGTGAAGTACTTCACTTTTATGATTATGACAAGAAATTTCCTTTATGGGGTTTCGGAGCTCGTCCTTTTGATGGCCCTGTCTCTCATTGCTTCAACCTAAACGGAAGCAGTGTCAACTCAGAGGTGAACGTGAAAACTTTTAATTTTTCTTATAAGGTTTAATTGTTTTTTTTAATTATGGAAATTTTAGGTTGAAGGGATTGAAGGTATCATGACAGCATATAGACAGGCTCTTTTTAATGTTTCACTAGCGGGCCCCACCATATTTGGACCTGTGATAAAGGCTGCAGGACTGAGAGCCGGGCAGGCTTTGGCAGCTAATGAGAAGAAGTATTTTGTTCTATTAATCATCACGGTATACATACATATTAACAATTTAACAATTGAAGATTCATCAGAATGATAATATGAGTTTCCATTTGTTAACAAACAGGATGGAGTGATATCAGATCTCCAAGAAACAAAGGATGCCCTTGTAAAGGCGTCAGATCTTCCGTTGTCCATCCTAATCGTTGGGGTTGGTGGAGCTGATTTTACGGAGATGGAGGTAGTACAAATTTTTTTTTTTTTTTTTTTTTTCTCATATGAAAGGGTAAAACTGTCATTTACTCTATTTACATTCCATGCAGATTTTAGATGCGGATAAAGGTGAAAGTCTCCAAAGCTCAACAGGCCGGCTTGCATCTCGTGACATAGTTCAATTTGTTCCTTTCAGGGATGTTATACAAGGTAATAATAAGTCTTCTTTCAATCCTTCTCTTTTGTATGCACTTAAAAAAATACGTTTTTTTATTTATTTGAATATGATAAAAAATAGTTGTGATTTATTTGTTATTTTGCAGGTGGAGAAGTGTCTGTTGCTCAATCCCTTTTGGCAGAATTACCCTCACAATTCTTAACATACATGAGAAACCGTGATATTCTTCCTTGATACGTACATAATTTAATGAGTGCTTTGTGTCGTTTCGTTTTTGTACAGTTTCATTCCACGTCTTTTTTTATTATTATTTATTTTTATTTTTATTATTTATTATTTATTTTTTATTGTCGTTTCCACTTTGGTCACAATGTGTCTTTAGTTTAAGTTATGGTTGAAATTCAATAGCCTTGTTTTTAAATGATATATGGGCATGAATGTTTGTAATTTGATTTTTTGGCAAAATAACTTTGGAGGATAATAAAGTATCCTTTTGTATATATGTTTACTTGTTTTCTTACTTTTTGTATACCATCTACAGTTAAACTTCTTGTCAAAATTGATACTTTGGTTCAAAAAAGTTTGGATTATATCCAAAGTTTTTATTTTATTGTTTGTTTGGTTCAATCTATTATGATTTTTTTTAAATGATGGATTTGTCTCGGTTACGTTTTTTTTTTTTTTTTTTTTTTAATTAATTGTTTTTCTGATTTTTAGATTTAAAAAAATATTAGAAAATAAAATATAAAATTAAATCTCTCTCTCTCTCTCTTCATTAGTTCTCTATCAATATAACTCTTTAGTTGTTTCTTCCCCAAAAATTCATCAAAAAATGATTGAAGCACATCAAATTAGATAAAGAAAACCAAAAAGTTACACAAGTACAAGCTAAAGTCCATCGCAAAACTTGATGATCGAAAGGATGATGATGAAACATCTGATTCAAAGCACACCTAGTTGGAAGCACCAGAAGAAGGTGGTGATTAAGTCTGTCAAACTCCAACCTTTGATGATCTTGTCTAGCCTTCGTGTTTCTCCTTGCATCCACCATGTCCATGTAACCTCAAAGTCTGATCTGATTGCTACACCACCATCTTTGGTCTGTTTTGAACGCCACTTTTACGAACCCCTAGCGCCACCAGCCTTCTCATCTAAAACTAGGGTTTTCATCTTTAAGATCTGATGAGCATCAAGGGTTTTAATATGTATCATAAGGAACTCGAATAACATGGTAATGATCAACAAGTTAACAAATATGGCGTAGATCTGAGAAAGGCAGCACAACTGTTGGAGAAGGAAGGAGACTAAGTTAGGGTTTACAAAGGTGGTGACGATGGTCATTAGGATCGTTGTCGTGTTCATCGAGATGCAATTGCATATCAGAGCTTCTTTTTCCTTAATCACTGTCTTTGTGGAGTTGTAGATCAGATCTTTCTCGAGGGTTTCTTGTGACAACGACGATTAGGGTTTGCTATGACCGGTCGTTTGGACTGTCTTTATCCTTCTTCCCGTATCTGGAATCAGTCCTTCCTTTATCCTTCTTTTTAAACCATTTATTCATATTTATGTAAATTTGGTAACGGTTTTGTATATGAGAAGATCTCTATATATGCGTCTGATTTTACAAATCTGATAGTTTTTTCTTTGTTGTACATCTCAGGAGAAGTGAAGATAGAGGTGGTGGTGCTCGGACAAATGAAGATCACTAGAGAAAGTCTCTAGTCGTATTTTATTCTTTCAGAATAATGATATATATATATATATATATATATATATATATATATATATATATATATATATATATATAGAGAGAGAGAGAGAGAGAGAGAGAGAGAGAGAGAGATTGCATTTTTTTTTTAATTTCTGTTATTAAAAATTATAAAAAAAATAGAAAATACAAATTTTATTTTTAATTTTTCCTTTGATAAAAAACTACAAAAGAACAAAAAAATAAGGGCAAAATCATCATTAAGAAAAATTTCATTACGAAAATGTTCATAGCAAATTGGACCAAACTCGCAACAAAATAAAAAATTTGGACCTCTGATGCTAGTCCAAACCTTTTTGAACCAAAATAACAATTTTCCGCTAACCAGAAACATTTGTGTAGTTTTGTCTAACTAGTATATAAATTACAAAATGATAACTTATATGGATTTTTAATTGGATTGTGGGCCTAACATGTGATCAAGTATTGCAAATTGCAAGAGTGAAGAGCCCTTTGAATATTTGCAAGAAGTGGGCTTACTTGACATGTTTGAAATTTGACAGACTTCGAAATGAGTCGGTTTGTATTAATCCTTGCATTATTTAATTTCTTGTTAATTTTTTAATGTAATTACAATCAAAAAAGTTATTACATAATAATTTGTTAAGTCTTGACTATTAGAGGTGGCAATACAGGGTTTCACTTTCATCATTATCACTAGACTATCTATAATCATGGGTATACATATTTAGAGATTTTTTTTTTAACAGCAAATAATTATATATTTTTTTCTTTCTCTTGAGATTAACCTAAGACTTCTTAGTTACTAAACCTCAAAAGAAGAGTTGAAATGGTTAAATCTTTAAGTAAACCAAAAGTCTTGAACTAATTGTGTTTGAATTTTATCAATAATAAATGGGTAGAAAGTAGGAATAGTCAAGTCTATTCTTAGTGGTACTTGTAAGAAATTACTTGAAAGCTGACAAAAATAGCTTAGCTTTAACCATTCCTAAACCAGAGGGACCTGGACCATTTCATTTGCCTTTTTATTTTTTTAAATAATAATAATAATAATAATAATAATAAATTATAATTTTTGGTTCGCTAATACAAGAAAGTTGGTCATTTGTTAAGGTTAAATGTCACAAAACTTGAATGTTTGCCCAAAATTGTTATTCGTGCTCATGGTTATATTAAAAATCGTATCTTTGCAAGACAAAATTGCAAATTTGGTCCATGTGGTATGTCCAAACTAGCATGTTTGGTCCAAAATGGGTTTGGCTTGCAAACATGGTCCAATAGTTTCTATTTATTACGAGTTTAGTCCAATGGCTTAACAGCCATTACCAAGCTCCCGTTAATTTACCCATGCCCCTCTCACTTAAGGGTATTTTAGTCCATTCATCTAGCCCCTTTATTATTTTATTATTATTTAGTCCATAAAGAGACTACAACGTCTCTATTCTCGTCTCCAGCAACAAGCCCTAACTATCACTCCCTCTCTGATTTCATCTTCTCCATCGATCACCCCCCTGTGATTTCATCTTCTCCATCGACAATGGTGATGTGCGTCTGCAGAAAGTGGGCGATAGTTCGGACATCGTGGACAGATAACAACCCAGGGCGCCAATTTTAGGGATGTCCTGACCCGGTAAGTGTGTTAAACTTTATTTTGAAGACTACTCCCTGATGATATAATGTTTCTTTCTTCTTTTTTTTCAAGAATTCATCATGTGGGTTTATTGGGTGGTATGATGAACCCATGTGTGCTCGTTCCAAAGTTATAATACCAGGGCTGCTTAGGACAATCAATAAGCTACGAAAAGCAATGGATGATATAAAAGAACAAGCAAGCAAGCATGAAAAAGCAATGGAGAAGATCAAAGAACAAGCAACTATGTTGAAGTATTACCTAGTCTATAGTTGGATTTTTTTTGTTGTTGTGTTGCTGTTCTTGTTGTAAGTCCACAGGTTGATTGTGGTTATCTTTTGTAATAGGATAGGGGTATATGTGTCTGGTTTAAGTATTTTTTTGCTAATGTGGAACATTGTTGTAATGCAAAGTAATGGTTAATGAAAATTTGGTATCTATTGACCAATTATGGATTTGTTCTATTGTTCATACATAACCTTCTAAAGATAACATATAATGCATCCATATGTAGTTAACACAAAAGCATACTAAAGACATAATACCTATTACCATCTTCAAAATACATGTCATAAGTTAATTGAAAACAAAGTTATTGCAACAAAAGACATCCTGCATCTAGGAATCAAACCAAAGTTGTTCAATACAGTCAAACCAAAAGATAAAACCAACATAGACCATCAAGTCCCTCCCTGACCTTTGCATGTCCTGGAGTTGTGCCCTTTGTTTCCACACTTACTACAAGTCACACTAACAAACTTTCTTGTTAGTTTCCCACTACCATGTGGACCATGACCATGAATCTCACTGGGACCAACATCTGACCTTTGACTCTGACTTTGACTCTTGCTTTGACTTTTCTCCTCCATGGATTGCCTTCTCTTCCTCTTGGGTCTCCCAGGTTGATTACGGTGTGGGGGAGGTGTGATCTGCATTGGACACTCACTTCTAGGCCACAGTGCCCGACCTTTAATTGGTTCCACCTTGTACCCATATGCAGTTTTCCAAGTTTGTAGCCAGTGCACCTTGTGGACATAAGTATGGAGCTCTTGTACACACTCACCATGATCTGCTTTGTTATACAACACAGAAATCACATGTCTGCAAGGGATACCTGTTAATTCCCATTTCCTGCAGCTGCATACCCTTTCATGCATATCAACAACATGTTGATCATTCCATGGGCCTTTGACTTGGTATTTTTCATCACCACACCATTCTGCAATGTACTGAGTAGCAGCTGCTTCATTCTTCTCCATGATCTTTGTTGCTGTTGGGGTGAGTGGGCCTAAACACTTTTGTTGCACCTTGAGGACATTGCATATCCTCTTCATCATATATTCCCTAATAAACTCCAAGCAGCTAATAATTGGTTTGTCTCTCCCATCAACTAGCTTGCCATTAAACACCTCACAAAGGTTGTTTAACAGCATGTCTGTGGTTGCTCTCCCTGTATAGAAAAGGGTAAAAGTGTCATAATGTTATGTGAAGGGTAAAATGGTAAAAGGGTAAAAGGGTCATAATAGCTTACCTGTGAAATGGCTTTTTGCCCAATGTTGTGGTGGTATTGACTTCAACCATTCATATGCTGATTTGTCATATAAACTGAATTGGTGCATGAAATGGTTAAACTCTGGCACTGTTGTAGCTGTGGCACAATCCCAAAGGTGATCTTTATATTCCTTAGTTCTCCATTGTTTCTTCATGTTCTCATGTATATGTCTGAGACAGAACCTATGCTCAGCACATGGGAACAGTTGACTAACTGCTTGTAGCAAACCCTGGCAACAAATTACACATGATTAACAAAATAAACATTAAAAATAATAAATAAACAACCATTACCTTTTGTCTGTCACTAACAAAAGTGAAATTAGACATAGCATGTAGATCCAAGTCATCACCAAGACATTCAAGGAACCACTTCCAAGATTCGCAGTTTTCAATCTCTACGATGGCATATGCAAGTGGGTATATGCCATTGTTGGAATCTAATCCAACTGCAGTTAAGATCTGGCCTGGATAAGGGCCTTTCATATGAGCCCCATCTAGCCCCAAGAAATCTCTTAAACAAGCTTTGAATCCCTTCTTCATCCCCCATAGACAAACATAAATTCTTTTGAAACATCTTGAAGTGCAATTCACCAAATTAGATTCTGAAACATCTCCAAGTTCTAA